AGGGAGCCAGAGTGCTGGGGTCCCCTGACTTCCAAGTCTTTCAAAAGCAAATATTGCCAGAGCCGCACGGTCTCAGTCTCAGCAGCATGGATAGTCAACCCCTGATAAGATCATCCTTGTCTGGAAAGGACCAAATTACTGTGCTGTTCAGTCTCCAAGACCCCTTCATTGCCCATCCCATAAAGACAAATTACCCTGGAAATGCTGCAAGGAGTGAGCCTCTAAAAAGGCTTGATCTGCTCCGTGGAGTAAGGGCTACTTCTGCTTACAACACAGGTGGAGGTGAAGGGCTATGCAGAAAGTCTGAGTTTGCCTCAAGAGAAAAATGGCATTGAAATCATCAAGCAAGCCGAGGAAAGTCTGAATGCCCCAAGAGGTGAAAATCCTAAAAGCAAAATAGAGCCATTATGTCTCAAGCTGAGGGAAAGCCTGAGAGATTCTGGTGCCTGAAACAAATAACAGGAAAACTATGTCAGATGTGTGGTCATGGCATAAATCACGAACAAAAACACAATTATAAGACTCCACAGAAGCAGGAGGAGCGATTGCTTGAGTACAAATCTTGATAACTATTGAATACAATTTTCACCACAGAGAGGCAGGCAGTTTGTAACCGAGTTTATTTTAGAATGCCAAGAGTGACTTGTCCTGAGGAGCTATGGTGGGTCTAAATTTTGTGTTGTTGTTTATTTGAAATAAAGTAAAATTTATATTGGAGAAATTGGGAGTCGATTCCTTCTGAGAGTAGAGTGCACTCCAGTCTCAATGACCGTAAGAACGAAGCAGAAAACAGGCCTGGATTAAACGCAGCAGCAAGTCCCCCAGCTGCGTCTGAACAGCACGTTGCATTTCCTGTTCTGCTCTCGCCATTTATGACTAAGTCATGTGGTTTGTCTGATGTGGGCCTCACGATTTTGGCCCTTATTTGTGCAATCTCTCCTAACAGGGTGAAGGAACACCTAGTACGTGAAGGCTCAGTTCTTAATGCTCTGGAATCCAACTGCCTGGGTTCAAATCCTACCTCCACCATTTATGAGCTGGATTAGCTCAGAAAAGTTCCTTAATAACTCTGTGTCCTCTTTCCTTCTCAGTAACAAAGGAATAACAATAAAGTAGTCAAGAAAATTAAATTAGCTCATCCATATAAACTGCTTAGCTATCATTAAATATTTGCAGAATTGAATTATGAACAGACTAGAGATGAATAGAAGGCAAGGAAGGCACAAGGGTCTGTGTCACACATAAAACATAAACCTTTAACCCTAGTCCATGGGTAATCGAGAGAGGACCTAAGCAAAGCATTTTCATCTGGGGAAATATATTTTCGTATTTTAAAAGTTAAGAGAATATAATGAATGAGGGAGGGATGAAGAGGGCCAGTTATCACAGTTGCCAAAATAGAAGCTCATGACCCAAAGTGGCCTCAGGAGAATACATAAAGATCTAGAAAAGGTTTGACGGCAGCCTCTGAGTGTGGCTGTTCCCTACTACATGCCAAGGAATCCTCTTGGTCCATTATAGAGAGTTTAAAATTGAGGATACATGGAGGCCTTCTCAGGAAACAAGAGTCCCAGAAGAGAAAGGGATGGCCCGTGATTCCCATTTATTATGTTACTATGCTGCAAGATACTCAAATATCATTCACATTATAGCAGACCAGCAACATAGGCTTCACCATTTTACAGATGAGGACAGCGAGTTTCCAGGAGGCACCAAAAGTTATGCTACCAGCTGAGTGGAAAAGCTGAGACTACAACCCAAGTTTCTCTCACTTCCAGGCAAAGCATCCGTGGCCACCAGCAGCACACATTTGGTGAGGAATATCAGTTAATCTACTATGCTCCTCAACAAGCCTGCCTTTCATTAATGACAGATGGGAGTGACAGTGAAGGGACCTTTATTCTTTCCCTGACTGAATCTTCCCTCCCCACATAATGCACAGTTATCCTCGAGCACATTTCTTGGAGGCAATTTGAGGTTTCAGTGTCCCCTAATGTCACACTGCCAAGCAGGAAAGGAAAGCCAGTGTTAACAATGCATCTCGTTTTTCACCTAATGAGCACCAACACGCTTAGGGATGTGAAGGGTGAAGTCTGACTTGTCAGCTGCTGGCGAACACAGACCCATCAGTGTAAATCCCCTCCTGTGTGGGGGAGTGGGGTATTTCTCAGTTGAAGGGTGTTGTTCTTGGCTGAATAATTGACGAAACATTGACATGGTTCCTCCTCTTCTACGTCTATGGTTCTAGAAGAGTCTGGCACTGCCGCGCACAAGGCTGACCTCCCTCCCAGCCCAGAAGTTTCTTGGGATTCTTTGCACCCATGAAGCCTGCTCTGGGGGAGTGAAGCGACAGGGCCACCCCTTCTTTTGCCGGGAATAGAAGCTGCCTTCTATCAACTGTCCACCGCTGTGGATTCTCCCTCCTCTCCAGTTACAAAATGGAAACAGATGAATTCAATCAAACATAAGCCCCCGAATTATGGCTTCCTTTATACCTTGTGGTAAAGGAGTTTAGACATAATTGGCACATGATTTTCTCCAGCGGTTTCAAGTTGTTCCCAAATGTAAAAAGGAACCTTTCAGTTTGGGAACGAGATGGTTTTGTTTCAAACCAATCCATCATGCCTTCCAAAGGCAAAGAGGGTGGGTCTGCTGAATGGAACCAGGAAAGTGGTGGGTGGGTCACAGCCTCCATGGCTCTAATTGGGCAGATATAGGCAGGCCGCAGGTCAGTGAGAAGAGAGGCACAGAACTCCCTTTTGGCAGTTGTGGGCTCTGGGGAATGAGACCGTCAGAGTTGGGGTGGAGCGCCACTGATTATTCTATTTCACCAGCAACACACACTTGGAGAGGGATATCAATTAACCCGCTATTAATCCCCCCATTTAATTGAGCACTGCAGTCTGTTATTGGACCATAAAATATAGAGGTAAGTCCTTCCCTTTTGCAAATCAAGGTCAACAGACACCCAAAACTCCACGTTTTACAGACCCTGCAGATAAGAAACAACCTCCACCAACAAACACTGCTGGCCCCAGAAAGCAACATAGTCACCATTCAGCTATGTTTACGCAAATCTGCAGTGAAAGTCAACACAGAAAACAAGGAAAGACCGCTTTACAGTTGGCTTTAAAAAGCTGGGTTTGGAGCCTGAGAGGTTTTCCTAAATTACTATTAACAAAGTCAACAGGTTAATATGTTTTCAAGGCTTCAACCAAATGGGGCACCTAGATAATGATCCTATTACATTAAGGTAAACAAAAGGGTGGTTGTGCACACCCTAGGATTAGGAGGCATCTTAAAAGCTCTTTCGTATTTATTTTCCACAATTTAGCAAGCCCAAAAGGGAAATGTTCAACTTCATTAGAGAGGATTGCTTACATGTTGTAAAAACAACAGGTCACTCCAGGTTCTCCGGACATTAAAGATTCATTTAGAAATCTTACCGAGGACATCATAGGCCCCAATATGGCTCAGCCAGCAAGCTCTCCTAGGAGATAATGGATACAAATTTGGGATGATAGAACCATCAGGCAAGGAGAGAGAATTTCTGCCACAACCTTATTTACTTCTGGTTGGGGACAAAGGGACCTTTGTTTTCAAGAAAGTCTGGATTGATTGTGAATCAATAGTCTGCCAAGCTTAGGAAACCCAAATGTGACTCTTCTGGGTGCTGCCCTGAGTTTGGCTCCTATCCCATCTCCCTCTCAGACAAGCAGGAGCTGGGAGCTCTGGTCCACAGAGGAGAGTCACGTGGTGGGAGCTAGATCAGTTGCATCAATCCTGGTCAACACAGAGAGAGAAATTCTGAATGCAGATGACCCTCACACGTGTGCCTCAGAGGAGAGGCTAGCTCCAATTCTGCAGATGAGGACATTAAAACTTGCAAAGCTAGTTCAAGGTAGCAAAGCCAGGACATGGTTCAAGTGGAAATTGGGACCAGGTCTTAAATCATACTCAGTGGCTTTTCTGCATCCCAAGTTGAGTTGTTGACTATTTAGCATGCAGGTCCAACTTCAGACCTCCTCCCAGGCTGCCCAAGCAATTTTCTCCAGGCCTCAGCAGGAAGCAAATGATCAAGACTCTAAAAATATTAGCAAAAGCACTTCATATGTGGAATTATCTCAGACCCTTTGATACAAAAGATCAACATGGACAGGCATGCCCCTAATTTCCAGTCTAGTTCTAGCTGAAGGAATCGTTCTCTCTCTTCTCTATTCCTCATATCCACTCAATCACCCATCATGATTTGTTTTTAGAGATATGAAGGAAATTTGTTTCTTCCCTCCATCACCATTGGCACTGCCTTAGAGCAGGTGACAGCTTCTCTTACCTTGTCTGCTTCAGAACCGGCCTCCTTGTGTCTGGGGTTGTGCCTAGAGATGGGCTGTTTCTTTATCAGAGCGAACTTGTCAAAACCCAGATTTGGCCCCAACATGTGTTTCTTTCAAACCCCACCATGTCATCCATTATACTACAGGATAAATCTCATTTCTTCAATAGCATATAAGGTTTTCCAAGGCTGGCCTGACCTCCATCCATCTCAGCAGCCTGAGCTCTCACCACTCTCCGCCCCTTACTTCATGTTCCAGCCACTGCTGGAACCGCTTCTGCTTCCTTAGATAGATCATGCTGCCTCACTTTCCAGACCTTGTCTCATGCCATCCCCTTCACACAAAGTGCCTGCTTTCTCTCCCGCATGTGACTTAATCCTACCCCGTTTCTAAGGCCCAGACACCCCCTCCTTCGCTCTCCTCCTGCTCGTCCTTCCCCTCTCCAATACAGTCGCTCATTCCTCTCTGGTCCCACTGCATCTGGCATGCATCTCTCTGCCACCACTGACATCATACTGTAGCATTATTATCCATGTGGGCACCTGCCTTCCACACCAACTTGGGACAGAAGACTGAGAGTAGGCATGCTGTCCATGCACAAATGGCCAGACGAGTACTCACACTCACAATGAAAACACAAGCAAAACAGTGGATTTGCATGCTCACCTGCTTTGGATACAGATTCAGGTTTGCTCACTCTCTCTCTTCCCAGAGCAAAATGGCCACACAACCATACCAAAGTGGCAGAAAGAAAAAGAAAGAAAGCTTCCTTCCGGGTTCAATTCAGACACATCTACTGAGGATGTTTCAGGCAGATGTGGAAGAACATCAGGCTGGCATTTGAGGAGCAAATGGCTTTGTGAGGAGCCTACTATTATTATCTCCTTTTCAAAACAAAGGGATTTGCAGGTCAAGTAGATTTAGGAAATACTGCATACTGTTATACTGAAAGCTCTATGAGGTCCTGCAGTAAATTAAATGTATATATGCATATATTTTACAGATAGGCTGGTCTCGAACTCCTGTCCTCAAGTGATCCTTCCACCTCAACCTCCTGAGTATGTCTTTAATCTAACATTTTTGACATGCATTTGATCACAGCCCGTCCTTCCCCTTCCCTTTTCTACACATCATCCAGAGGACTTCATTCTGAGCACATGTGGGTAAATGCTGTTTAATGGAAATGTGTGTAAGCCACAGAATCAAGCAGATCCTGCTTTGAGTATCTGCTTCACCGTCTCTAACAATGAAGACAATTCATTTAAATTATCTGAACTGAAGTTCCCTCACCTCTGCAAAACATGGACAGTAATATCAGCCTGATAGGTCATCATGAAAATTAAAAGAGATACCTTAAGTAAACCACGTGGCACTTATTAAGTACTTAATCATCGCCAGTTTTGCTTGCTTTCCCCAGTGTCACCCTAGATGTCTACATTAGAGCCATGTCTACATGGCCTTAACACCTCTGGCAAAGAAGCAAATGCCAGCGGCACAACAACTCGCTTTCTAGGACGCCAAACAAGCGTCACACTTTACTGAAATGTTTGACTAAATTGACCTGAAACAATGCCTCCTATAGGCACACCATCAAACCCTCCTTTTCAAACTGGCTGATCACTATTTCCAAATAAGGACTCCTTTTGTGCCATGGATATCATGGATGTCGTGTGCCATGACACAAACGTGAAAGTATCCTGTCCTGGCGCCCGTGAGACGCGCAGTGGGAAATTAGCCCCCAGCGTAGAGGACTGGGGCCACCAGGGTGTCATTCAGAGCACACAGCAGACACAACTTTCGTTTTATTTCTCTTCCTTTGAATAAAAACGTGTCTGATGCTTCACCTACAATGAAAATATTCTACAAGTTGTAAAAAACAAAAGTATTAACACACTTCATAGACATGCATAACCATGAGATAATTGTGCTTCTCAGTTCGTTGATATCACCCGACCCCCAAACCCAGGGTTATAATGTGCGCCTTGTTGTGTGGTAGTTCCCCAAAATATTATTCATGGGAGGTTTATAATAACAAAGCATTACCATAATAAATAGTGGTCACAAGAGTCTTCTATCAAGAAGAAACCTGCGAACCTTGCTCATATTCCCTACCCTTGATTCAAGATTAAATTTCACTTTTTAAATCATGGATTCTAAATCCTAAGAACTCGAAACCTTGAAATTGATACCCTTTTTTGAAAGAAAAATTAGATCGGAACTGTCAGTAGGAGTGATCAAAATGACATGAAGCAAATCAGATGACGTGTGTGTAAGAGGTTTTCTTTAGTTCAGCTGTCAGGAAAACGCTGAAGTGTCTTATCTCCCCCAAAGCCCCAAAGCCAGGGTCCCAGGCCAAGCAAGCCAAAATTGTTTTAAGAAAAAATAAAGGCACAAAAGGCTTCTTAGGAAATTCAAATTTAAAGTGTTACTTAAGCTCACAGCTTGGACCTGTCAGAAATGGGAAATCCAGAATCGTGGTAGGCAAATGAAAGAAGAAATTATTTATACTACAGATCAAATCCTGTTAAAAAGAACTCTAAAGAGACCAGGGTTGTTTAATTATTCTACCCTATTACTCTATCAAATATTCTTGAAGTAACTGGGTCAGGATTTAGACCTTAGAAATTTAATTACTATACATAATTTTGTTGGAAGAGCATTTGTTAGAATGCTTTGATGGAAAAGAGAGCCTACTTTTTAAAAATCCCTTTATAATGAAATACAGTATTGGCAACTTCTCTTGAGGGGTCACTCAGATCACTTAAAATGGGTAGTGCAGCAGAGGTAAATCTGTAGTTAACCAATGTGGGAGTTATTGATCATCAGACCTGCTGTGTTCTGAAAGTGAATTGGAAACCCATTTGCCTTAAACCTCACAAAAAATATTCAGCAAGGGTTTGTATGTGCGTGCTTGTCATTGTAAGGACAATGTCATAGTCACAGTGGAGAGAAATACTGGTCCCCATCCTTCACTGCTCCCTTGCTCCGGCCTCATTGTGGCTGGGTGCACCTCCCCGCCTGCATTGGTAGGGTTCAATCAGAGAAGCAGAATCGTGGTGAGGGGCATACTGGATTTCTTACAGAGATCAGACATTATGTAATCTTGGGAGTGGGGTAAGCCACCCATTTCAGGATGTTGTCCTTGCGACTAGTGCTAGACCCGAGGACTGGCAGACGGGAAGGAAAGCTGGATGTGAAGCAGGGAAGAGCAGCGGTAAACCAGAGGCCACAGGATGAGCTAGATGCCACATGGCTGTCTCACTGCCTCTAAGCCTCCAACATTCACACAGAACGACAGAAAAGCTGGGGAATTTCTCCATGGAGTGGCCCTTGAACACCATCCATGATTTGAGGAAGCTGAAGGAGACCAGATGGGAGCTAAAGGAGGTTGTGAGCTGGCTACTGCCTCCACGCCAACAAGGCGAGCCAGCAGGTACTCGCAGGTGATCGCAACTGCATAGACATGACCATGGTTTCACTTCCGCCTTCCAGACCTTCTGCAAATTTCTCTTTCAGCCAACCCTACTTCACACCCATAAAGAGAGGGGCATTCTTGGAAGCACAGTTTCAGCTTAGTTAAAGCCACCACACTTCTCCATGGCTTTGAGTTCAGCCATGTGACTTACAGAGGTGACCGTGTACCAAATCTATGTCCAGAACTTTAGAGACTTTAAGTTCCACCTGACCACTTGTACCATCTTGCATAGAACTGAAGTGAGAAGCACAGCAAGCCCATTGCAACCCCAGCGGCCACAGCTTAAAGCAGAAGACGCCAGCCAAGCCCAGACTAGATGAGCTGAACTGGGGCCAAGCTGCAGATGTATGCTCAACAATAAATGGTTGTTGAAGGCACAGAGTTTGGGGAAGTACCTGATACAGACTTACCTTGACTTTGATGATTAAGGACCCTCTAATCACTGATCCCTCTCATGATCCCCAATACCTGCAAGGTACCAGGCCCCTATAGCCCATAAGCACATAGCCATGAAGTGATGCAGATTGAAACTCTGAAGCAAGAATTTAATCTATCCTCCTAATTTCAGGAATCCACTTTTTAAAAGCAGTTGGGGTGTACATGCATAAATTAATCCCAACTACAGCCACAATAATACAAAACCTTGAGAAAGATAGTTAAAGAAATAAAGTCCCACATGAAGACAAACATAAAATCTGACTGAGGAACATGAATAAATGGAAAGGCACGCAATGTTCTTATGTGGGAAGACACAGTGTTGACAAGAGGCCAGTTCTCCAAAATTAAATTATGAATGTAACGTAACTCCACTTAAAATCCCAGTGGGATTTTGGGGTGGAGAAAGCTTGGTAATATCATGAGGAAAGTGAAATGTGTGAGAATAGCCAAGAAATACCTTTCAGAGGTAAGGTCTTTTGAATCTTCAAATCTGTTTCTGATGGCGAGGGTCCTTCTGGTCCCAGGACCCCACGAATCCTTGCCTCAAAGACCTTCACTTATTTGGCAAGGAAGCCTGCATAAAGAGACTCAATAAAAGTTGATGAGATAAGCACATAGTCACACACACACACAAATAAAAATCTTTTTTTTTTTTTTAACATTTGTTTGAATTTCTTATTTTAGGCACACCTTTCCATTCTTTGAGCTACTTCAGAAGTCTGGGAGTTGCGGCTTGTCCCTGGGCAAGAGGGAACAGAAAGAGGCAACTAGTGGCTCCCAAATGCACGCCTGGTTGTGCAGAAACTGTGTCAGCTGTTTGGTTGTGATTTTGACCCAACACAGAGCGGCCCAGACCAGGGATGAACAAGTGATGTCAGAAGTTTCAAGCCTTGCGATGAATAGCACTGATGTTATTTAGGTTTAGTCTTTAAGAAAAAGGCTCCGCGGCATTCAAAAGCCCCTGTTTTCAACCACAAAAGTCCTGAGTGTCAAGGAAATCATGTGCTAGCCACTAACACTCAACTGTGGATTTTCCTGACTGCTAGGCTATTTTTATGCATGTAGTATTGGCTACAGTCTTTGGAGCCAAAGGTTTTACCTCCATACAATTTCATGAGAAAGCTCAAGCATCGAGTTGACGTTAGTTAACAGATCATCACCAGCTCCCTCTATGGGGTGAGGCCAAGGGGGATCCAGAGAACAATCTTGGGGGATTCTACTCCCAACAGGCTGCAGCTGGGGGTGGGGGCTGCAGATGGAGTTAGACAGGCAGATAATCCACAGAGCTGGAGGTGGTTAATGCAGTTTAGCCAGGAGAAGGGAGAAGGCTCAACACTAAAACACCCTGGGTTGAAATCCCTCCTCTACAGATCCTATCACTCTAAGCAAATTACTGGGCCTCTCAGAGACCCTACTTCCTGCCTGTAGAACGGGGGTGATGGCGGCTGTTGACAGATCCTGGTGAGGATTATCCTAAAAAGTTATGTAAAGCCCTTACCACTGTGCCTGGCACACACAGCAGCACTCCATAGATACTTGTATGTATGTAATGAATGTTAAAAGCAGTATTAGAAGTGCTGGACTAGAGACACATTCAGTTCAGTAGGCACCAGGGGTGGAATGGGGCTATTAATTTAGCCTGGGGAGTTGGCTTAGGCTTCTCATAGGAAGTAATGTTTGAGTTGGAACTTCAAGAATGAATGGGGGCTGGGCACAGTGGCTCATGCCTATAATCCCAGCACTTTGGGAGGCCAAGGCAGGAAGATCACTTGAGCCCAAGAGGTTGAGGCTGCAATGAGCTGTGATGGCACTACTGCACTCCAGCCTGGGTGACAGAGCAAGAACCTGCCTTAAAAAAAAATAAAAAAATAAAAAAATAAAAAAAATGAATGTAATTTCAGCAGCCAATGATGAGGGAGGCTCTCCAGGATAGAGAAAGAGCA